CTCTCACCCACTTGGGAAACCGACTCCCTCAGTGGGAAGCCCCGTGAGGAGGGTTCAACAAGAACCATGCTGTTTACACGCACACACACGCCCACACGCGCACCGGCGGTCCTCTTCCAGACCGCCCACTCTGCCGCCAGCCTGAAGCGAGGCTTTGAAAGTCAGAACTGGGGCCAGACGCCGCTCGGCCCCGACTGCTGACCGTCCCCGGGTCGTCTGCCACGTCCACCGACTTCTCCTGTGTCACTCAGGACCCTGACCCTGCGCCCCCTTCCCCGGAGGACGGCGTCACCATGGGGAGCCGCCGTGGGGAGGACCCGTCGGGGCCCCGGGCTGTCGGGGTCCCAGACCAGTTGGTTGAACTCCGTCCCGGACTCAGGACGCGCAGCCTGCGAGGACCAAGACGGGTGCCTCTCCGGCTCACGGCGAGGGACGAGCTTGGGGGGGGGACAGTGGGTGGGCACAAAGCACATCCCTGCTCGCTGCCCTGGCGACACCTGAGACACTCGGTCCCCCGGTCACGGCCGGTCAGCGAGGCCGGCGGGAAGCAGACGGGGCTGCTGAGGCTCCGGGGAAACGCCCTGCTCTGTGGGGCGTTGTTACAGAACAACGGGGCGGGGGGGGGGACTGGGGCGATATGCTATCACTGAAAGGAACCCCCCCAAGTCTGTTATGTCCACCCCCAGAGGAAAGACGTCTCTCAATGCCAGAGATTTGAGAAAAGGAAAGGAAACGTTTATTTAATGCTGTGCAGACTTAGAGTAGTGACCTAATGTTTTCATCAAAATCCCAAAGTCCCTTAAAACACCCACAAACACACATAGTCCTTCCTTCCTTCCCCCTTTGCCCAGTCTGGGGTACCGCATCTCAAGAAAGGAAATAGAAGTCCGAGGCTTGGGCAGCCCCCAGTTCTTCCCAGTAATCCGTCTCGGCTGGGAGGCCTCCCTGGGTTCCCGGCACCATCAGCTGTGTCGTCGGGACCTCTGCTAAAACTGGGTGGTGGTTCCCCCTTCTAAAGCTGTGGGGGTCCCCACTCTGCCAAAGCCATGGTTCTCTCTGCACAATGGCCATGGGAGTCTCCACTCTGCCAAAATGGAGTGGTTTTCCCCCGTCAATGGCTGCAAGGAGGGGGGTCGCCACTCTGCCACAGCCGTGTGGTTCTCCCTCCAATGGCTGCCGTGTCTGGGTTTAAATCCTCACGCCAGTCCTCCTCTGCAGCCCCATTTCCGACTCCTCCCACAATTGGCTACACCTGCCAGCACTCCCCTATCCTTCCAGGTTTACTGGGCTGCCATCGTGGGTCTGGGCAGGCGTGGCCCCATGGCGTGGAGCCAGTCACCTCCAAGCTCCCACGCAGGCGCTGTAACTTGGGGGACCTGCCCCCCCCTTACACCTTGGTGAGGAAGTTACTTTCATTCCCCTGGCTCAGAGTAAGGCCTCAGCTATTTAACATATCCATGGAACCATTAAAGGTTATAGATATGTTAAATGACCACACCACGGGTTAGCTGCAAAGCTGTTGCTGTGCAAAACAGCTCTCAATGGCCCTGCTCCCTGTGTCCCTTCCCCCAGCCCACACCTGTAGGGGGCGGGGGTGAGGATGTCCTAATATTTCCTGGACACCCTGAGTTCTGGGCCCCATTCCAAATCCCTACTTGGGCTGCCCCCTTGGCCGCACCCTCTAACAGCGTGGAGCCCGTTCCCTCCTCACCACGGCCGTGCCGTCAACTCTAAGCAGCCCCCGCGCACGGGCAGAGGGAGGCCAGGCGGGCCGCAGCCACGGAGCTGCAGGGAGGGGACCGGCAGCGGCGACTAGGAAGCCGTCTCTCCAGCTCGAAAGCCCCGGACGGCCCACAGGCGGTGTTCTGGAGCCTCACTCACTCTTCCAGGCGACGTCGAGTTGGTTTTTATCACAACACGCCGCCGTCCCTCCGAAATCCCGTGGGCGTCTCTGGTCTGTCTCCAGCCACTAAGATCCGAATAAACGCTTTCACCTGGATTTCCAAAGGCTCTCTCTCTCCGGGCCGGCCCTCTGCGGGCTGATGAGAACACAGAAGGCCCCTCATACAGGCTAAAACCAGGCGCTCTGGCCTCTTCCGCCTCCTCCTAGTCTTTCTAGGAGGACGGGGCCGGGCAGCTTTGTCCAGACGAGACACACACAATCCCCACGGGCCACTCATTACCCCTTCTTGGGGGAATCAATGTGGTTTCCAGGGGGTGGGGCGAGCCCCACCCTGCTCCCCTCCTAATGTGAAATACACACGGCGTTTTTTTTAAAAAAAGGTTTTATTTATTTTTAGAGAGAGGGGAAGGGAGGGAGAAAGAGGGAGAGAAACATCCATGTGCGGTTGCCTCTCACACGCCCCTACTGGGGACCTGACCCGTAACCCAGGCACGTGCCCTGACTGGGGATCGAACTGGCAACTTTTTGGTTTGCAGGCCAGTGCTCAATCCACTGAGCCCCACCAGCCAGGGCTAAGGGGGAACTCCTGAGTGATGGACAATGGCTAACAAAGGGGGACGAGTGGCCACTGACGGTTTACGACTGGTACTCAGGAAAGTTGGCGTGAGAACCCTGCCGGCCCTGGCATGCTGGGAGAGACGGGAACACCGCACGGTTGTCGCTAGAGTGACGCAGCGTGAGAGGCCGGTCGGGCCCCTGCGTCTGGGCTGGGCCCCCGCGCTGCCGGGGGACGGGGCTGCGGGCCATGCGCGAGGGCGGCCGGTCTCCGACCTCGGCAGACCTCTCTCCCCCCGCCCTCGGTCAGCGACCCTTCCCTCTGGCTGTTTGCAGGGAGGTCGCAAGAAACGCGCGATGGGGCCCATCCTACGGGAGTCGTGTTACAGTGCGAAGAGCTGATACCTCTCCAACTGGCTAGTTCACTTTGAGAGAAACGTCCGTTAGCGGGAAGGTTGTCTGTCTGCTCGGGGAGATTACTGGGGGGCGGGGGGAGGCGTCTGTTTCTGAGAAGCCTGTTTTCCCGGGCCCCCCCCCCCCCCCGCACCCCCCCCCCCCGGCTTCCCTGACGTCCGGCGGCTCCCTGCCGTCCACTCTGAGATCGCCTGCCGCCGTCGGAGACACGATGGGATGGGTGTCGTGCGCACTGAGCCCCGGGGAATACCGCCCCGGGCTGGGGCCACGTGCTTCTGTGACGCGCCTGCCGTCACCCAGACGCGCAACTTTGGACAAATCGTCTGCTGTCCGCGGGCCTCGGCGCCTCCTCCTGCCGGTGACGAGGGGAACGGTGCCTCCTAGCGCGGCGGGCGCTGCTGTGGGGGGGGGGGCGACTGTCCCTGGGCTGATGCCTCCTCGGTGCCCAGAGTGTCTGTGCCGCCCCCCCCGCCCCGTGCCCCCCGCGGCTCCCACCGCTGGTGTCTCAGCTGCGGAGAGCCTGCAGGCGGAGGAGGGCTGGCGCTCTGTCCCCAGTGCGCCGGGACAGCCGCCGCTGTCCCTCCTGCTCTGCTCGTGGTCCCCGGCCTGTTAGCGAAAGCCCAGCGCACGCAGAGGCTGTGCGCTTGGCAGCTGTTCACCCAGCAGCCGGAACAGACGCCGGCGAGAGGATGCACGGAAACGCCGGCCTCGTCACCCCCCCCTCGCTGCCGGCCCCGGGCACCGGCTCCTCCAAGTCCGCCGGCTTTCCAAGGAACCTGCAAGGCAGCCGGGGGGCTCAGTGCGTCTGGGGCGGGCGTCACATGTCACGGGCAGTCCCTTCCCGGCAGTCACGAGGCCGCCCTTCCAGACGGAGCTAAGGCGTCTGAATGACGCCCTCCACCGCGGCCTCGGCCGCTCTGCGCTCTCCGAGGGATGCTGCTTTGGGGCCGTGACCCACTCACGTGGCCCGGCAGCGGCCGCGCGGCCAGCAAGTGGGACCGGCCCCTCACAAGCGCTCGTCCTAATAAAGTTTCCACCCACGTTCTTTACCGTCTGGGCAAGTTCAGACGTTGGGAAGGTCGGGTCGGACCAGAAGATGGAAAACCTGCAACAGGACCGGGGATGTGCCCTACGAGGCCGCCCCCCACGCAGCGTGCGCCAGGGGCTTGGGGGCCGACAGCACACTGGGGTGTTTGGAACGAGACTTTCGGGGGCAGTGGCTTCCCCGGCTCTCTGAGTGGGGACGCGCAGCCCGAGGCCGCTGTGCTCTGGAGACACGGGGCTTCCGGGGCCCGCCCGAGCGGCCGACGCACTGGGCGGCTGGGCACTGAGTCCTGCCCGGCCACGCGGGGGCCGGTGGTAATCCTGCTGTTTTGACGGCTGCACTGACCCAGCCGTCTGCGAGGGGTCGGCCTGACCTCGGAGCCCCGCTGCTGGTCCGCAGGGTGACCCTGAGGGCGTCGCCTCTGCTCTGTGGGCCGGACGGAGAAAGAGCGGCGACCTTGGCCCTCCCAGCCCCGGGTGGACGCACTCGGGCCTCAGCCGTGGCCGTGGGGATGAGGAGGAGGAGGACAGGATCAGAGGGAGGCAGGGGCCGCGAGGCCCAACAGTCAGCGGCCCGCCGGCCCTGCCCGTCTCTGTCCACCCCGCTGTCCCCACAGGGTCCTTTCTCCCGGCCCCTCCGCGCCTGGTCCTGCTCCTCCCGCACCTGTGGGACTCAGTCTGTCACCTGAGCCATTGGGGCACCAGACCCAGGCCAGAGAACAGAGCTTCCAACAGTGACACCGACCTCGGACCTCCCCCGGCCCTTCCCAGGCGGAGGGGACGGGGTGGCTGTGCCGGAGCCACAGGACACCAGGCGCTCGGTCCCTCCTGACTGGGGAGAGCTGGGTCCCCCCCGAGCAGAGGGGAGTGGTCAGCGGCGTGGAGAGAAGGGGCCCTTGGAGGGTAGCTCCTGTCCGGCCCGCGGGTGGGGCTGCCGGTCAGCGGTGACCGCCAGGGCAGGCGTGGTCCCCATCGACAGAGGGCTCCCCGAGGTCGGCAGCAGGGGGGAGCGCGCGCCCCCAGAAGGGAGGGTCTCTGACCGAGAGTGTTCGCGGCCCAGGAAGGACTCGCACGCGGCTGTGCCTCAGGTGTGCACGGTGCTTTATTGGTGGAGCGTGATTGTGGTTACAGAGACACTTGGGTGCGCCATCCACCGGGACGGACACGCCACCCAGCACACAGCGCGCTGGATGCAGAACCGCGAGATGCACGCGGGGCCCCCCCACGGAATCCCGCGGCGTGCACGCCGACACGGATCTCCAGCGCCGCCATTCCCGCCCCTTTCTCCGGCCGCGTCTGCGGAGACAGGCCGCGCCCGGCAGCCTGCTACACAAGTCTGGTGTCCCCCGGCCCCGAGCCCGGACACCGCGACCTAGCAGGAGCCACGGGCGGCCACGGCCCAGCTCCCTCCGCGTCACCCCGGTGTCGCTCCCGTGCGGCCCCGGACGGGCGGGCGGCGCTCTGCACGCGTCACGCGTGTGTGGCCCCGGAACCGTGTTGGCGCCGACCCGGCTGACGCCGCCCCTCTCGGGGGAGGGGGGCGGCATGCGTGAGGCTGGCCGAGCCGACGGGAATGTTGGGGCGTGGTTTGCGGCTCCTCTGCGGAAAGGACACGGGGGCTGTCACCGTTCGACTGTGCGATGAGGACACCGTCACGACGTGTCTGGGTTCCGCCCTCTCTCGGCCGGTTTCCAGCCCGAGCTGCCTCTGTGTCCTCGGCCGACCCCGAGCCCGGGGCCTGGGGGGAGCCTTTCCCGGGGCCCCAGCCCTCTGCCCGGCCTCGGGCGCGCGGGGGCGCGGGGGGGCGCGCGTGCAGCAGCCTGGACCACGCTGGGCGCCGGGAGCCGAGACCCAGGCGAACGTGAGCTGCACACGCGTGTGCGACAGGACACGGAGACGCGTGGGGACGTCACATCCGGGACCCGCCGCTGGCCAGGCCTCGGGCTGGGACCCCTGGGTGTTGGAGGCGGAGCCCACCCACTGCTGCGTGGCCCGTGCGAGCCACGTGGGGCCGGGGGCGCTCCGGAGCACTGACGTGGACCCTGCCTGCCTCCCTCCCCACAGACACGCCGAGGCCCTGGGCACGGCCGCTCGCCCCGCACCCCTTCTCCTCCTCCCCGCCCCCCGCCTCCTGCTCTCCTGCCCCTGCCCCTGTCCCTCCCACACCTGCTGCGTCCCCAGGACTGCTGGGGGGGGCGATCTGGGGGCTGAAACTGTTTCCCTCAGACATGATCAGCCTTTGAGGTGACCCTCAGACCATCACATCGTGACGGGACGGGCAGCTGGATGGAGCCCGGCCCAGGGATGCGTGGGCGTTTTTCAGCTGACCGGCGACGGCCAGGTTTTCACCGGAACCCCTCGCAGCCGCTGTCCTTGGGGAATAACTGTCAGCGCCCCCTGCCGAAGGGGGGTGAGTCCAGAGGGCACCCCAGCCGGGCCACTCGCGAGGCCACACGCAGAGGGTGAAACTGCAGCCATTTCCTTCACCACCTTCCTTCTTCATGCACCAAACCTGAGACCTCCTTCAAGCGTAACGGCCGCCGCCGAGACCCGGGTGCGTGCAGGGCGCCTGCTGGCCGGGAAGCGAAGTTTCCCGAACGCCTCGGCGAGTCCCGGGTGTCAGACGGTGTCCGTCCGGGAGAAAGACCGCGTGTGTGGGGTGTTCACACGCGTGAGCACAGCCCTCGCGGACAGACACGGAACACAGGGTCCCACGGTCCTCCACAGCCCGCCGCCCGTCTGGTCCTTTGGGTCCACGTCACTCCTGGTCTGCCCCCAGCCGGGGAGGAAGGCTCAGTCACGGGCCACCCCCGGCCGAGCCCTGGTCCCCCCCACCCCCCCCCCCCGAGAAGGAGGGCCACCCGCACGTTCCCACGGCCGCCTGCCACGTCCCAGGTGCACTCACAGCTGCGGCCGCGCTGTCCCTGGGGGCGTGTGCCCCCCAGGCCCCGCGCCGGCCACTTTCCCAGGCCACGCGCTGGGGGGCGGGGGCGGGGCGGGGGCCACAAACAGCTGTTACAGTTTCTTTCCCGGAAAGATCGTCCCAGACCATCTTTCCCAGGGTTAAAAAAAAATGTATTGTCTTTGTGTTGCCATGGAGACTTTAGAAACAGTGTTTTTTCCCTTTTCCTTCCCCGCTCCTGCTAAGACTGAAAACATCTCCAAAAGAGTTCAGAGAACTTTTCTGGGCTAGTTTTCTCATGTCTGGCTTTTCGGCGGGGCACCCACCGCTCCGAGCTCAGGCTCACCCCCACCTGTCCCACCCCACGTCACTGTCTCACTGTCGCGGTCGGCCGGGAGGGGCCCCTCCGTCCCCCCCACAGCTGCCCTGGGGCTCGCCCGCCCCCGCCTCCTGGGTCCGGCCGGTGAAAGGTGGACCCACGAGCCCTCCCACCGCCGGAGAGTCCAGCCGGCCCGAGTCTCTGTCCGGCCGCCCCTCCGGGTGAGCCCCGTGCTGTGTCCAGTTAATTCTCTGGGCACCTTCAGACACGCAGCCGTCTCAAACAGCGTGAATAAAGCATCCCATTTTTCGTTCAGTCCTGTCTGGCATCCAGGGAAGAGCAACGGGCCCGGGGGTTTTGGTTCCTAGCACGGCCGGCGGCATTGGCTGCCGGGGCCACGGGACAGAGGGCTGGGGGAGGGGTGCTGGGAACCCCCGCTGCTGGTCAGCGGCGCGGGTGCATGGGGTGGGGGCGGCTTCGCGGTGGGGCGTGACCAGGCCCGGCCATGCACGGCACGGAGACAGGGTCTCCTGGGGCGGCTGCCGTGCAGGATGCGAACGGGCTGACCCGCAGTCCCCTCCCCCCAACCTGGGCAGAGTGTGGAGTGGATGCCCAGCTGGGGCCGGCCGGCCGGCCTCTGCAGTGACCACAACTGGGGGCACCCAGCAACCCCCTGCGTGTCTGCCGGACGGACACCGGAAGGGACGGCTCCCCCCTCCCAAACCGGGAGCGGGGGAAGGGATAAAACCCAGGAAACCGAGACTGGACGATGCAACCTTCCGCCGAAGCAGTGCGGGCTTTATTCGTCCTTAAGAGCACTCTCTTGTTAATTTTCTGAGCCGCCTCATCTTGGTGGCCCTCGTGCAAGGCTCCCTGCGACTCTCCTTGTTCCCAAACCGGGCAAATGCGGACTTCCCCTGAGCACACCTACCTACTCTCGCCACGAAGATGCCCTGGCAACACTCACAGTGGTGAGATACAGAGGTACAGCCGTGCACTGCCAGCGGTGCCGTGGCGGGCCGTGAGCCGTGAGCCGTGAGCCGTGCGCGGCGGGGCGGGGTCAGCGTGCGGGGGTGACGGTTTACTGACCCGGGGGGCGGAGCGGCAGGGGGGGGGCCGGGGGTTGCGGGACGAGTCCGTTCTTTTGCGGAACGCGGAGACCTGGAGTGCTGCCTCTCGCTCAGAAAGCCCGGTGGGCCGGCAGGTCGGACTTCCCCCACGGTGACTCCTGTTTCTCAGACAAGCGTCACGTGCCGAACACGCAGCGTCACGGGGCCGTCAACCGTGTCAGTCCCCGTGTCGGCCCCCGGCCCTCCGGACTCTGAGGCGGGAGACAGCAGCTGTTCCGTTTTTGCATCCTGGAGTTAAACATTTCAGAATTTCACACTCACACGGATTTAAAACAGCGGGGACACCGAGTCTCTGGGCCCACCCACTGCAGGCTCAGGTGTGTTTGTGAAGGAGCCCACTGTCGATCTCAGGGCCTAACACAGAACCTGGCAACTCCGTGGGGGCGTCTGGGCAGGCGCAAAGGGAGAATCGATGGTAATTGTGCTCAGACAGATAACACACATGTTGTCGGTGGTACGCCTGGTTTCTAACCTCCGCCTGCACGAAGGTTCTCCATGGGGAAGAACAACGGTTTCAATGATTTGCTGAGGACATCGGGGGGTGGCCGCCTCGTGGAGCGCTCACCACCGCCCTCCAGCCCAGGTGGGAAATAACCGGGCGGTGATGCCCCCCACCCACAGTGAAGACAGCCAACGAGGCGACTCATCTCACCGGCGGTCGGCCCCCCCCCACCACCCCCGTCCCCTGTCCTGTCCGACCGACATCGGGCGACCTGTGACCTCAACCCAAGGCCCCCCGGTCGGTCGGGGGGGCCTCACACGCCTGTCTCTTTGCCTGGGGCAGAATTTCCTGGGATTCTGAGCGGGTTTGACCACAACGAACGGACTGGAGCTTGATTAAGAGTCGGGGCGGGAAGAAGCAGCCGGGAAAGGAAATCGTTCAGACAACCACCGTCCCGAACCACGCAGGCCGGACGAGGAGGCGGCCGCCGGGGGGTCCCCGTGGGGGCGTCTGGGAGCAAAGCCGGGGGGGGGGAGGGAGGGCCGTCTGCTGGGGGCGCCAGGCTGCCGCGCGGCTACTTGACGAGCTCCTGGTAGAGCTCCGAGCGCAGGAAGCGGGGCAGCGAATCCTTCTCCATCAGCGCGTGCACCCTGCTCTGCGCCACGTCGAAGCTGCTCAGGGACGGCTCCGCCAGGTTCCTCTCCGTGAGGTCCTTGGTGAAGTGGTCGATGTTCACCTGCGGGCGGGCGGCGCGGGCGTGAGCGGGGGGCGGGCGGGGAAGTGGGACTTCTCACTGACAGAACACACACCGGGGCGGGGGGGGCGCCGCAGAGGGAGGACTGTCGCCCTGGCCGGGTGGCGCGGTGGCTGGGAGTGTCGTCCCGCACACCTTAAGGCTGCGGGTTCGATCCCCGCCCGGTCGGGGCGAGGACGGGCGGCAGATGGTGAGTGCTGCTCTCTCGGGCCGATGTTTCTCCCTCTCTTTCTTTCTTTCTTTCTCTCGAGCCCGTACACGCACCCTCGGGTGACGGTTAAAAGCAAAAGTGAGAACTAACGTTTCTGCTTTCTAGGCCGGGGGCGGCCGCCGGTGGCTCGGGCTAAGTGTGTGACGGCGGCTAAGACGCAGCCAGCGCGGGACGGGCACTCGGTGCCGGGGTCCCCGTGGCTGTGGACGCACGCGAGCCTCACGGACCCCTCTGCACCCCGAGACTCAGCCTTCCCTTCTAAGGGGGGAGGGAAAACATAGACACACAAGTATCCAGGTGACGTGGCTTCCTCACGGTCACAGAGCTCAGGGGCGTGTTGAAACCAGAGCCCCAGACTCTGAGTCCAGGGGCGAGTCCATCTCACTCACAGCTCAGAGGACGCCGGCCGGGCCGTCCGCGGGAGCCCAGGGGCCCCTGGGGGGGCCGGACGGGCTGCCGTTTGCGGGGGCTGCAGACCCAGCCAGGGCTTTGTCTGCTCTGCAATGCCACTTCCAGCGTCTCCGCGTTTCGTGAGGACGCCAGGGACCAAGTAAGGAACCCGAGGACAGTGTTTCCCGGGACGCAGACCAGCAGGCCCTCGCCCCGACGGGCGGCCACCAGGAGCGGAGATGGCAGCGAACCCCCGAGTCCCGCGAAGGGGAACGGAGCTGGCGGGAAATGGTCCCTCTACGTCCTCACCATCTCCTTGCGAACATCATCAACGGAGACTCGTGGAGGCAGGGAAAGGGCGGCCCGGCACCACGGCCTCAGGAATGGGGGGGGGAGCTGAGGGGCAGAGGAGGAGGCCGGAGAGGGTCCCAGGTCTCACTCTCCCCCACGGCAAGGCGGGGCCCAGGTCTCTTCGGGACCCTCACCCTCTCCACCTCGCCCGCCGGCTCCCACCACCAGCTCCGCGGCGGGGAGCGCGCCCCCTGGTGGCGGACAGGGGCATAGCTCGTCATACTAATTTGTGACCAGAGCCTAGAGAATCATGAGGGAACAGGCACACTGGGGGCCGGGGTCGCAGGGGCGTCCCTCCCACACCCCGTCTGGGGTCGGCTGCCACCCGCGGGGCTTGCTCGGACCACTCCTGGGTCGACTCCACATCCTGTGAAACACTCAAGGCCCAGAGCGGAGTATGGGGCCCGGTGAGGCCCCGGGGTGTTGCCGGGGTGAAGCCACGGGAACCCCGAGACCGGCCTCTGCCGTGGCCGCCCGGAGGTCCCCGGAGGGCCTTGCGATTCCCTTCTCACGGACAGCAGAGGGCGGATAAACCGCCCCAGAGCGTCCGTGAAACCAGCACCCATCCTGTCTGTGGTAGCCAGCCGCCGGGACCCTGGCTTGCAGGGCCCCTGGCTCTGTGCTGTCCGGGGCTAAGGGGGTTTCCGCGAGCGGGGACCCTGCCGCTCCAGCCGGAGAAGCCACGGCGGACGCCCGGGGCGGGGCGGAGGGTGGGGAGGGGTGAGGGGAAGAAGATGTTCCACGGAAAGAAAGGGGCAGGGGCGGGGCAGAGAGACGGTGCGGGGTGGGAACACTCGTTGGCAGTAATGAGTTGGCACACGGACGGACGCACCCACTGGGTGAGTCCGCCCTCCCCAGCCTGACAACCGTCCTCCGGGCCCCGTGCTCCCCCCCAGGGAGTCACGGGACTCGGAGAGACTCGCACGTCCATCCAGCCTGGACGACAAGGTGTGTGCCTCCCACCTGCTGCAGTGGGAGGCAGCGCAGCCCCCAGGTTCGGAGCAGGGTTCAAGCTCACACCGGCCTGGCCGCGCGCCCCGCCCCTGCACCCCGCAGGGGACCCGAACCCGGGCCAGAGGTGAGTCCTTTCCCGAGGGGTGGCTGCTGCCCCCGCCCCGCCCCCTCCCGGGCCACGCCCTCCCGCTGGCCCCTGGGACCGACCTCCTTGGGGGCCTCGGTCCGGATGAACTCCTCGTAAATCTTCCTCGCCTTCTCCGCTATCTTGTCCGGGGACCTGGTCTTCTTGAAGTCCTCACAGGCCATCCAGAACTCCAGGTTTTCCTCGCTGAACTCCGACTTCAGGAAACTCTGGAAGCTGGCAAGTCCGTCTAGCGAGGGGAGAGGCCGGAGGTAAAACAGATACATGTGTCTGTCTACGTATCCATCCGTCTGTCTGCCCACCCATTCCTGCGGCCTGTGGTGCCGCAGCCGAGGCCTGCTCGCTACGTGCTGACCCTCCACCGCTGACGACGGGGAACCTCACGGAGCTCCCTCCTTTGCTTCCCCTACTGACCCGAGAGGCCGGTGTGACTGACACCCTACTGCTCGGGGGAGGGCAGCGCGGTCACGTGACCTGCCCCCCCGCCCCCCGCCCAGCGGGTGGGAGGCCGAGCTGGGTCCGGACCCGAAGGCCGTCCGTCTGCAGGTGAGGGGGGCTCACCTGCAGACGGCCTCAGGGCGTGCCGGGACCGAGAGGGGGTGCCTGCTAATTTTGGATTTCGAGGAGGAGAAAAAACACACTTAAGACTTGGCTCGGGGGTGAGAGCAAGACGACTGTTGAATATTGTGCATAAATGACGTACAACCCTTTTTGTCTTTCCGCAGATGATGTCTGAGCAAGTCAGGCCCTGGGAAGGGTCGTTAGTGAGTGACATGCACGAGGTCCTTCCCGAGGGAGTGACAGACTGTGGGGTGGGGGTGGGGGGGCAGACGGGAAATGACCACAGGAAGCACACGCGCCCAACGGAGGAACCACCACGAGGAAAGCAGTCACAGAGGGATGGATAGACAGGAAGACAGGGAGAAGGGCCCTCGCCTGCTCCAGGAGGACGCGCGCGACCTTGGGTTTCGGCCCTGCAGGGTGCAGGGAGGGGCCTGGGGCCGAGGGCACACCAGAGGAGGGGCTGTGCCGCCAGTCACCCATCGGTGTTAAGCCGGAGCGAGTTCACCCCGGCTGGTGCGGCTCAGTGGGATGAGCACTGGCCTGCCAGCCAAGGGGTCGCTGGTTCGATTCCCAGTCAGGGCATATGCCTGGGTTTGGGGCCAGGTCCCCAGTAGGGGGCGTGAATGAGAGGCAACCTCACATCGATGTTTCTCTCCCTCTCTTTCTCCCTCCCTTCCTCTCTAAAAATAAATAAATAAAAACTTTAAAAAATAAAACGGGGTAAATTCAACCTGACTGTGGCCGCTCTGACCCTGTGTTCAGTGCGCTGCCGCTCATGTGACTTCTGCGTGTCATTAACAATACACACGGGTTTACACACACACGCAAGCACGCACACGGGCGACTCCGGGCCCGGCCCTCCACGCCTGAGGGTCTGCCTGCTTTCCGGCCCCACACCGTCTCTGGGAGACCGGGAATGAGTCACTGGACAAACACAGACACTGTTCTCGGAGTTAACCTCGTGGGCTTGGGGGCTCGATAAGCAGATGAATTCGTTGCCATCCATCGAGCCAGTAAACATTTATCGGACACTTTACATGTGCCAGGGCGGGGCTCTGTTTAGCCAAAAAAAAAAAAAAAAAAAGAAAAAGAAAAAAACAAGAAGAGGATCTGAAACGGGTAAGACTGAGAAAGTCCCAAACACAGAGGTGTCGGGGTTCTGCCTCTGAACACAGGATTCTCAGCGCACTGCGGGGAGGCGGGCGCTTACCCACCAGAACAACGAAAACATGTTCGTGTGGTTGGAACTCACATTGCTATCTACTCCGGGCTTGTCGGTCTTGAAGATCCCGCGAGAAATGGTTTTTAAATCCTGGTTCTCGCAAAGCATCTAACAAAATTTCACATGCCATTCTGGTGGTGAAGATGGAGAAACATGGGGTGGATGTCTTAAGTAGACTCTTTTTTTAAGAGTGAACTCTTGAACAAGTATTTACTTTCCTCAAACTGCACTTCCTGCTGTGAAATTTCCTGGATCAGAAAGACCAAGTGCCAGCTGCCAGTGAGTCCGGGATCTCCAGCTGGAGGAAATCGATTTATAAAGAGAACACAAACTAGCAAACACTAAGCACGAAGTAGCAAACACTAAGCACGAAGTAGCAAACACTAAGCATGAAGTAGCAAACACTAAGTACGAAGTAGCAAACACTAAGTACAAAGTAGCAAACACTAAGCACGAAGTAGCAAACACTAAGTACAAAGTAGCAAGTATTAAGCAGCATAACAGAGGTGCGGGCAAATGTCTCTGGAAGCTCGGAGGGAGGAAGACAGACCAGACACTCAGGGCTTGGATTAGCCTTGATAGGGCTGGGAGAACTTCCACAGAAAAAACATGAAATCAGAGCACACGCAAGAGTCACCCCATGAGTGCATAACCAAGTGGAACAACTGATCAGCATTTCTCTGTCTAAAATCAATCAATGAGATACACAAATACACAAACAGACGAACAAGCATCCACACAGAGGGCCGGAGGGCAGTTCCGTGTGGCCGCTGACCAGCCCCATCATCACTACGGAGGGTCTCCAGTGTTGGAGACTGGCACCCGACACACTACAGGAGGCCCTGGAAGTGCTAAGGATCACGGATCGGGGGAAGGTGGGTTCAGGTGTCTCGGCCTTGTCCTGGGAAGGCGTCCTCGCCGACAGTGATGTCGCATCTCGGACGAAGCTACGGCATGCGTGCTGCCAGAAGCGGGAACCGGGGCTGGGGACATTACGACCCGGGTCAGGCCACGAAGGCAGTGACCACACTCGCCGCCCGGGGGCCCCGGTCCCGTGGTGATCCCACGCCGTCTCAGCCCCCACTGACCCGCCACGAGGCCCAGCCCGAAGGGGCAGGGTCGCTGTCACACACGGAGATGCCGGCCTGCGGAGGTCGCGGCTCATCTGAGAGATACCGGCCAACTCTTTTCTCAAACATCGTTACGTGTGTCGGTGCACGGGTTCAAGGTCGTGGCTGGCTGAGCGTTAGGCCATAACGTGGAAGCCGTCAGCTTGCTTATCGCACGTATTTTGTGAGGGTGTGCAGTTTCCTATAGTAAACTTTATCTGGGAGATACCACAGACTCTGAAGTCAGTGTTGCTGTGGCGGTTTTTTCGTGAACTTCAAAGTCAGTGTCGTGGGTTTTTTTTTTTTCTCATGTACTGTTGAACATGGCTGGAAAGATATATCAACTCGATAATCCAAGAGATGCTGGAGAACCTGAGCGCTACTCAAGCCGCCTATCAAAGCAGTTTTGCGAGTGCCGTGAGCAGTGTCCGTGCCGGGAGCGCGGCCACACTGTGTGCGGAGCTGATGCAGACGCCCGCAGGGCCAGTCGCTGAGGGTTCTGACTGATTCACGCTGAAGACCTGGTTTGGTTGTATTTTTTAGCTACACCCACGTTTCCGTTATTTGAAAAGAAAAAAAAATTATTCTTTACGTTTTTACCTTTGTTTGTTGACTGACTTCTAGACTACAGCTGAAACTAAATGGAAGTTGTGTATTTTATGACACAGATATAATAAATGCAAATTTGCAGCGTTTTAAAACTTTTTCTCGCATCTCAGCACCTACCAGTAAGGAACGCATCTCTCAGATGCACGCGCCCTCTGCAGTCATTTTTGGGGGCGCGCGGGTCAGGACACAGGTGCCCCTGCGGCGGGGGCGGGGGCGTGGCCTGTGTACTGAGTCCTCGCGCCCCCGCCCCCTCGCACCGTCCCTTGCGGGGGTCCCGTTGGAAAATCTCAGAAACGCGAACGTCGTAGGAACGGTCGGACTTACAGTTGTTCTGCAGCAGCTTGTCCAGGGAGTCGCGCCACTGGAGAGCCTCCCCCGACGAAGGCCTACGGCGGGGCGGGGACAGGACGGGACGCCGTCAGAGGGAGGCAAACCCGGGCGCCCACCACACCGTGCGCGCGCGGACCCGCCTCCGCCGGGAGCGGCACAGCGGGGACCCGCCCCCCGCACAGGGGCCCGCCCCCAGCACCAGGGGGTCGTCGACGGAGGAGCTGGCTTTGCTCTGGGACGTCCGCTCTACATTTTGACCTCTTTCCGGACAGCGTGGTTTGGGGGGCCCCTTTAGAGGTGCAGTCTATTTGCCTGAAAGCTGCGTGTGACCTTCTTGTAGACACCGTGCGGGTGGCTCCAATTGTGTTTTTTTTCCCCTAAATGGGAGTGGGTGAAATCAGGGCGCACCCCGGGGTGGGGCCCACCCCGGGCGGAGTCGGCCGAGGGCACCGACGCCACGCCCGCGCCCCACCGCGTCTCCAGCCGAGGCCGCTGGAGGTCGGCCCGTGTGTTGGGGGCGAGTCTTCATTCTCAAACCTCTGACTGCATCCCCCCCCCCCCGCCCCCCGTAGGACCAGCTGGCGACGTCTAACAGATCCTCCGCGTCCTCGGGCGCGAGGCGGCTCTCCGTGCACAGCGGGGGCGGGGGGGGGGGTCGTGCGCCAAGGGTCCAGCCTGGACTCGGAGCGGGGGTGGGGTGGGGGGGTGGGAGCCGCCCGCCGAGGCCCCTGCGCCGGGTTCGTTGGAACACCCACAGGCGCAGCGCCCTGCGGTCCCCCGGCTACCGCCCGTTCTCTCGGCCCCGCAGGCCGGGCGGGTCGCGCAGGGCTGTCGGGGAGGGCGGCTGGCCGAGCCCGCAGGACTCGCCTGCTCGCGCTGGGACGGGACTTCCTCGTCGGCACGTCCCCACGGTCCGGCGCGGCCTTCGTGGGGAGGGCCAGGCCGGCAGAGGCGGTTCTCCTAATCGGACTTTCCTGCTTCTGGGCTTTCTAAACCACGGTATCTCGGGGCTTCAGTTGTGCAGATGGGAAGCAGAGGCTGAGGAGGCCCCAGGCTCCTCCGGTCCCGCCTGCGTTTCCGTAGGTGCTGGCGGGGGGTGGGGGGGGGTCCCTGGTGTTCTGGGCGCAAGTGTCGGAGTAACTCGTCCGGCCTCTGCCTCGCGGCGGGACACGCACAGATCAGGAGACCCCATCCTGCGACTAACGTCTCACCAAGCGTTAGGGTCACTGTTTGAAGGTCGCACACGCCAGACACGCGGGTGACCCTCTGGGCGAAATGCCATGAGGGGCCTCTTCCTGTTTCCTGGCCGGAGCTCAGGGGTCCCCGGGCAGCACCGCAGCCCTTGTCCCTGGAAACTCAGTCCCAGGAACGGACGCCCTCCCCGCCCGGCGCAGGCCGCGCGGGAGGGAGGGAGCAGGTGCAGAGGGGTTACCAGTGTGTCCCTTCATTTTCTGCCCCATTTTATCGCCGCCCAGAGACGGGCCTGGCTCCCTGGGGCCCCACTCCTGGGGCCCGGCTCCTCTGTGTTGCCCCCCCCCCCGCCCCCCCAGAACTCGCCCTGGTCCACGCTCTTTCACGCCTACGTCCCTGGCGCCGGCCTCGGGGACCCTCACGTCCTCAGGGCCCGGGCTCGGTCCTCTGCGTGTGGCAGAGGCCGCCGAGTCCCTGCTGGTGGCCGGCAGACACCGCAGGACGCGAAATCTCCGGGCGAGAGACACAGGCCCGCGACCCGCCCGGAACCTCTGATTCTGTGAGCTCTCGTGAAGGCGCCGTCCCCGTCCTTCCCCGTGCCGGCCGCCGTCGGCTCAGGGACACGGAATGCCGCCAACGGCCGCGCCCGCCCTGAACTTGTCCCCGGGGCCGATTTGTCCCCGAGCCCCTGGGAGAACCGGACCAACGCCCACTGTCGGCGGGACGTCGCAGCCGAGACCCGGTCCCTGCAAAGGAGGCGAGTGCGGCCCCTGGGGGGGCCGAGGAGTCCAAACTGACCCGGGAACACAGTCGAGCGAGACGCGGCCGGCCGGCCGGCCGGCAGCACGAGGCCGGCGTCTGAGGAGCGGCCTGCCCCGGCCCCCGGGTCTGCCGGCCCTCCCTACGTCTGACCCCTCAGGAGCCGGGCAGGCGCCGCGCTGAGTGGCCGCTGAGTGCCCCGGCCCGCAGGCGGTGGCTGACCGCGCAGCTGGGCCCGCAGCCTGTGTGGGCGTGGCGTGGGGTGGGGGGGCTGGCTCCGGCGGAATAAACCTCACAGAGGCCATCGGCTGGCTGGGCGCTGCAGGACACCCGGGCGCAAACGCTGCCTGGCCCAGGAGGTGACAGCCTCTCCCTTCACTGCACCTTTCCCGCAGCGCAGGGCGCTCAGCCTGAAGGTGCGGCCTGTCCGTCACGGAGAGCCCCTCCCCCTCCGTGCTGTGGCACCTCCCCGCAGCCTGTCCGTCACAGATAGCTCCCTCCCCACTCCATGCTGTGGCACCTCCCCGCAGCCTGTCCGTCACAGATAGCCCCTCCCCCTCCATGCTGTGGCACCTCCCCACAGCCTGTCCATCACAGTTAGCCCCTCCCCCTCCATGCTGTGGCACCTCCCCACAGCCTGTCCGTCATGGAGAGCCCCTCCCCCTCCGTGCTGTGGCACCTCCCCGCAGCCTGTCCGTCACAGTTAGCCCCTCCCCCTCCGTGCTGTGGCACCTCCCCGCAGCCTGTCCATCACAGTTAGCCCCTCCCCCTCCCATGCTGTGGCACCTCCCCGCAGCCTGTCCATCACAGTTAGCCCCTCCCCCTCCATGCTGTGGCACCTCCCCGCAGCCTGTCCATCACAGTTAGCCCCTCCCCCTCCATGCTGTGGCACCTCCCCGCAGCCTGTCCGTCACAGTTAGCCCCTCCCCCTCCGTGCTGTGGCACCTCCCCGCAGCCTGTCCGTCACAGTTAGCCCCTCCCCCTCCATGCTGTGGCACCTCCCCGCAGCCAGCCTGCGGGAAGGTTCCGTTCGCCCACAGTGAGCCTGGGTGCCGACAGCCGGGAGCAGCCCCCGACTCAGACGTGAACGCGCTCAGCCCCTGAGCCGTCCCCACTCTGACACCGAGTGGCTGTGGCCGTGGGAACGCGTGCCAGCCTCTCTGAGCACCAGGGTCTCTGTCCTCCTTAAACAGCTGCCCCGTCCCCGCATCTACCTGACGCTTCCGGTGCCCGCCCCACCCGCCCTCGCTCGTGGCCCGGGAAACGAAATCCCAGCCCCTCGCCGGCACGTGCGGGTGTCCGCCCTGTCCCTGCGTCCCTCCTCCCCACAGAGAGAGGGGTCTCAAGTCCACGGGCACAGAGCCCCTACCCCGAGGCCTACAGGGACCGGGTGCGGGGGGGAGGGGACACAGACACAGACAGACACCTGCCACTTCCTGGGCTCCGTCTGGGGCCCAGACGCCTCTCCCCTCACGGCGCTGCTGGCCGTGCGGCCGTCGGTCACAGGGCTGGCGGAAACGCTTCCGAACCACCCTGCCCGGGACCGGTCACGCGTGGGGTCACTGTGCAGCTGCTGAGGGGTAAGGCGAGGATGAACAGGGGAGCCCCAGTCAGTGACGTGGCGGGGAGACCACGGAGTAAAGTGCAGGGGGGCACGTCTCTGCCGGCTGCCCAGCAGGTCGCCGTGGGGGCGACAGGCCTCGGAGACCGTGCCTGCGAGCTAGAGCCGGGCGGCTCACTGGTCTGTGTGTTGTGTGTCACGGGCCGTGCCCAGGGGACCGGGGGACAGCTATGGAGGAAGACAGGCTGAGGCGGCTGGCACAGGCTGGGGACCAGCGAGGGTGAGGCCTGCGAGGGGGCTGCCCGGCTCGGTGCTGGGGCTCGGGGAGCCGTCTGGGCAGGTGCGGGAGCAGGCCCTCGGCGTGCAGAGGTGTCCGGCGGGAGAGGGCAGGGCCAGGCGGGGAGGGCGAGGGGCCGGGGCAGCGTGGATGCGGGTACCGGCCTGTGCCCCTGGGGCAGGGGCAGAGGGACCACCTCCCCCCGAGTTCTGACCCAGGCGGGGAGGCCGGCTTGGGCGCTGGGGCCGAAGGCAACAATGATCTATTCTTGTCATGGTTCTATTTTTTCCCCAACAAGAAGAATAAAAATATATTAAAAAAAATTGAAAATGTTTGTTTTTTTAAAAAGAGTGGCTTCTTTTTTGGAAAGATAAAAGGGGTTAAAATCACCTCCTGTCTGGAGAGGGTTTCTTGCGTCCTCTGACGCTCATGCTCATGAATAGGAAACAGCACAGAGAAACTTTGAAGTGAGAGAGGGGTGGGGAGACCGCCAGGCTGACCGGACCGCCGTCCCGGCTGGTCAGCCTGAGGGTCAGCCTGAGACGCTGGGGAACCGGCCGAGCGGCAGGCGGGGGTGGGGGCGGCCCGGGGGCCAGGGGTGCGTGGGAACGCTCCGTCCGTGGAGAATGCAGTCTCCAGGGGCATGATGAGTTTTCCAGAACAACTCCAGCCCCTGCAGGAAGATGGGTCGGAAGGCAAGGGAACCGTCCAGTAATGGCCGCAGGTTTCCTCCCAAACTGCTTCGCCCTGAACCCCTGCAGCCCCAAGAGTCCGGGTGTCCGTGAGGGGCCCCCGGAGCAGAGGTGCCTAGCGGGGAGCCCGCTCCCGGGCTCGCGGGTGACGGGACGTCCAGTGGACCGGCCAGCGCCACCACTGACCTCCAGACAGACTCTCTGACCCACTGCCACTCCAAAACGGGGTCCTCTCCTCCTGGCACCCGCACCCCACCGGGACGAGCGCCCCCTTTCTGAGGGCAGGAGATGCAGTGATGCCTGCCTTCTGGCGGGGGGGGGGGGCTTTGGAGCAGCACCAACAGGGGGTGGGAACCCCGCCCCCCCCACTGGGGGAACGGAAGAAGGATGGACGAAGAGGGACCCGGCCGGCTCCCAGCCAGGCCACTCTGTCAAGCCCAAGGTCATCCGTGCGGACACAACATGGGCCACTTTGTACAAACGGTCACATCTAAAAAGAGGTGGAGGTTAAAGGGGTTCCCCTATTCCTGCCACCCTCCTCGGCCGCCTCGGAGCTCCTGGGCGGGGAGGGACGCACTGTGGACACCTGCGGCTTCTCTCCTCCCACCGTCCCCCGGGCTCCCGGGAGACTGAGTGTCACCGTCCCGGCAGGGACGGGCTGTGCCGGGTCAGGGGTGTGGCTGCTGGAGCCGCGGTCCTGAGTCAGGTGGGGCCGGGGCAGACAGGGGCCACGTTCCCTGCCTCCCAGCCCCGTGTTTAGAACCGCGGTTCCCACAAACGGACGGGGTGTGTGCGGGGAGCTGGGGGGTGCGTGCGGGGAGCTGAGGGTGAGGCGCAGCCGCAGGGGCCCCGTGGTGGTGGTGGTGGGGGTTCTGATGCAGGAACTGGGGGGGAATCGCCCGACGACGTGCACTGAACTGAAACAGCGGGTCCGGGGCTCACACCTCCTCTGCCCCCCTGTGGGCCCAGGAGATGCCACAGCTCAGGGAAGACACCGAGGGGTTAAATGGTCAGCCTTGACCTGGGCGTCTTCCTCAAGGGGGGTTCCCCCTGGCACGTCCCTGCTGGGGAGGGAGGCTCGGAGACCCCCAGCAGGTGCGCACTAGTGGTCTGCTTTCCGTGGGTCCCAAGTGGTCACCTGACCCCAGAGCAGCAAGCGACCAGGGGACGAGGTGGCGGGTGCCACGTTTTAAGGTTTGGTCGGTCTCTCCAACGAGGTCCCGGGGTGGGAGGCTCCCCTTTACTTTCCAGCATCCTGCCTACGTGCAGAGCTGCGCCCCAGACCCAGAGTGGACAGAGATGCCCAGGCAGCAGCAGCCTGGGGAGGCCCCCGAGCTCAGTGGGCAGCCCGAGGGGTCTTGAGGGCGGGGGGCTGAGCGCCGAGCCCCCCACCCCACCACGCTCCGGGGACCCAGGGGGGTGACCCACGCCCACGACTCACTTCTGGGCCTTGGCTGGCTTGGCTGGCTTCTCGTTGTACGGGATGACCAGGTCGATGGCCGAGTCCGGCTTCTGCAGGAGTGTCCCCAACTTGGTCTTGATCTCCTTGGCCCTGAAGGACGAGACAGAGGGAGGGGACAAGGGACCCGTGAGCACCCGGGCGCCCCTGCAGGAGGCGGGGTGCTCGGGTCCCGGGAGTCAGCGTCACCGAGGCCGTGCCGTGTCCTTGGTTAACATGCGTCGTCACGCCTGCACCTGAGTTCATACGTGTCACTCCGCACACGGCAGGGGCGGTGGCGCCCCTCCCGTCTTACTGGTGGGGACAGGAATGGCGGGGAGTTGAAGTCTCTGGAGGCCCCAGCCCCGGCCCCGAGGGGTGAGGGTGGGCCGGGCTGTCCGAGCCGGGGGTCCGCAGACGGCCCCCCGTCGCACTGCCCTCGGGGCTTCTGCGGGCTCTGGCCGCCGCCCCATGTCAGCGAGACGCCCAACACGTGAAAGGAATGACCCCTCCCACTGCCTGGCCTCCGTCCCGACGTCCGGGAAACGGCCACGTCCCGCCGTGGACTCGCCTCCCCAGCCTGGCCATGGCCCCACCACGGCCCCGTGTGGGACCTGCTGCCCGCGCTCGGGGTCCGATCGTCCCAGCCCCCCGCCCGCTGTCCCGGAGTGGCCGCTGCGGCGCCTTCCGGGCCGCGAGCCCTCCCCGGGCGAGCCTCTGTGTGTTACACTCCTCGCTGCCTCCCACGCGTCAGAGGGTCCGCGTGGTCGGGGCCCCGGGCACGGCTCCATCAGGGGTGCGACGCCCAGTTTCACGACCACCCTGCTGAGTTGTCTGTCACCACGCGTCTGAACTCAAAAGGAGACCCACCAAGTCTTTTTTTTTTTTTAAGATTTTATGTATTTACTCTTAGAGGGGACTGGAGAGAGAAAGAGAGGGAGAGAAACATCCATGTGTGGTTGCCTCTCGTGCGCCCCCTACTGGGGACCTGGCCCGCAACCCAGGCACGTGCCCTGACTGGGAATTGAACCGGCGACCCTTTGGTTCACAGGCCGGCGCCCAGCCCACTGAGCCACACCAGCTGGGGCGAAACCCAGCAAATCTTACACATGAATCCACAAGACACGCCGTGGTAGATGGGCGGAGCCAAAAAGCCGCCCGTCCCTGTCACCTGGACACTTCACGCAGACCTTTACCATGGAGTCCACCAAGCGGCATGATGGTTACTGATGTGTGTGTCTGTTTTCCGGGCCGCAGTGAGAACAGCCCGCAGTGGGAAACTGAGTCTTAAATACCTCTGACCCCCGAGTACAGCCCAGCGCTTAGCGACACAGTCCACACGCAAAAATATCTGCCGCAGAGAACTAAAAATATCCTGGTTGTGCCGCTCACAAATCCCCTCACATCCATCTCCTGGGCAAGGCGGGTCCCAAGCAAAGCCCTGGAGGTCTGTGGGGGTGCTGGGGGGGGGACGCACGCTGCGGCCAGAGCGGCTCCGGGGCCGGGGACACCCCATCACCGGTCGGTCCGCAGGGGACGGCGGAGGGACGGCCCCAGGAAGAAAGATGCGTGAGAGCAGCCATCGTGCAGGGAGGGGGAGGGAGGTGAGAGAAGCCGCGTGTAACTCACAAAACGCCGTGGCACCCAGTCACGCCGAGGCACCCAGTCACGCCGTGGCACCCAGTCACGCCGGGGCTTCCCGCGGCGTCGCGAACTGTGACTTGCCCACCGCCTTCTCCTTCCCGGGTCCTGTGCACCCGACCCCCCCCCCCCCCGGGGGACGACGCTCTCTGCGGCTGAGGCCAACGGGGGGCCTGGGACAGCGGCCCCCGCGTCGGGGCCGAAGCTGGGACGGAGGCGGAACCAGAGGGCCGGGAGGCTCTGAGCCCGGGCTCTGCACGTTTCCCGAGTTGCCCACCCCCCAGTTGACCCTCTGCCGTTGGGACTGAGGAGCGGCCCCCCGAGCAGAAGTCCCAGATGATCAGTCACGCGTGTGAGCCACGCAGTGCCGGCGGACACACGGACACACGACAGCTTCCTTGGAGTCGGTCCCGGGTGTGCGGTCACCCTCCATCATCCGCACTCGGTGCCGCTCCTCCGCGGCGTCCGTCACCGAATCAAAGCCTCCCCCCCCCCCCGAGTCCCACAGGGCACTGAGAACCACACCCGCCACCGCCCGTGGTGTCCCTCTGGAGACACGAGTCCCCGGTTGTGTGTCTGTCCCCCTGCGGTGGGGCAGGCGGGCGGTAGTTGTGGCCGCCTGCCGGGCTCCTGTGCAGGGACACGGCGGGAAGCGCCGGCCCGTCCCCTGGGCCGGGTCCCGGCCCCTGCCCCCTGGAGGAAGTCCCCTCGCCCCTCCTGTGCCTGTGCCCACCCCCCGTCCCCACACACACGCGCGCACACACACACACACACACACACGCACACGGGCCGTGCACCGTCTCCACGCTCAGCCCGGACCGGGAGCGCACTCTCTGCTCTTCAAGGAAAGATTCTCCACCGAACACGCTCGGGGCTTGGCCCTCAGTGCGGTTGGCTTCTAGGTTTTCACCTGCTGTTCCCTCCGTCTGTCCCGTTCCTGTCTCCCGTGCCTCTCGGGCTCCGTCTGAGCCGTTCGCTTTCGCCAGAGGCAGGCAAGCGGGCGAGTGCCCTGCAGCTCCACTGACCGCCTCCGGGATCCCGCTCACGTCTGGCCACCGCACGGCACCCACGAGCATGCACGGGGGTGGTCCTCGCCTTCAGGGAGCTCACAGTCGGCTGGGGCCTGCAGCTCAGTCTCTAGAAGCTTCCGAGGAGTGGAGGCCCGCAGGGCAGCGGAGCATGGGTGGTGGGACCCCCTGCCCACGGGGCGAGTCCCAGGGCCTGCCGGGGGAGGGGAGGCTGCAGCAGCTGGTGGGCACGAAGGGACACGCCTGCCAGGCTGGAGAGGGGTCTCGCCCGCGGTCGGGAGGGACGCAGGAGAGACCCCGCGGCGCCCCCTCCTGGTGGAGGCGCGGGGACGGGGACCCCGTGCAGTGCCAGCCCCCAGCAGTTCTGGCTCCGAACACAGAAGGGCAGAGGCCAGCACGGTGGGCTTCAAAGACGCCCCCGCTGGGGACGGGCGGCGTCCTGTCCTGCCGACTCCACCTGTCCCAGCGCTTCCCACGGCTCACTGCCCGGGTGCCGGGCCCCGGGACAGCGATGTCCGTACGTGGTGGCTGTGCGACGAGACGTCCACGCAACCCTTTTGGGACCAGAATGGATCAGACCCCAGAGCAGCTGCACCGTGTCTCTGCTCACGGGGGACTTTGGGGGGTGCCTAGAAACCCACCGGCTCTGGGGGCGTCGCCGGTGGAGTTGGAGCCCCCGCCCCAGAGCCCACCCAGACTCCGAGGTGCCCGGGCGAGGGACAGAAACGCCGTCCTTGGAGAGCACCCTCCCGGGGCTCACCTCCGGGCTCTGCACAGGCTCAGACCTCGACGTTAAAACATAGACTATGCTTCTCTCTCTCCCACCCTCCCTTCTCCTTTCTAAAAACAAATAAAATCTTTAAAAAGAAAAGAGACATAGTTAGACTATGTACGTCACGATGTCCGCTGGTTTAATCAGGAGTTTGCGAGAACACAGAGAAGGAATGTCATTACTGCATCTCACGGAGCGGTGGAGGTTTAACAGCCACAAAGCTGGCAAATGCGGGAGCGGACGGCACTTGGAATATTTTCTTTTGGTAGGGACCGAGTGTTTCTACCTTTGCCCCGCCGCTGACGGGTTCCCGAGACCCCCCCCCCCCGTTTCCTTCCCCCCCCCGGCAGCCAGGCCGAGACAAACGCCGGAGAAAAACCCACCAAATGGGAGATGAAACCAATGAGGGCTCGAAACCGCCGCCCTACTCTCCCCTTCAGAACGCACAGGGCTGCGTCTGACAGACTCCACGTTCGGGCAGCTCCGCCCGCGGAGGACGCTCCCAGCGTGTTTTCGGTTCAGCTCAGCCTCGGCGGCCGCGACTCAGTTGGCGTCTCTCCCGGCCGCGCCGCGGCAACGCCGGTGAGCGGGCGGCGGTTTCCGTCTCCTCCTACGTGGCCCCCTTCCCTCCCACCTTCTGGGTGAAGCTTTAATTAAAAGTTTGGAGGACGCCAATGCTCTCTCTCGATGGCTCACGTCAGTGCGTTCAGCCTGCAGACGGTTTGACTGATCTCAGGACGGCGCAGCTGTGAATGTGTGCCCTGCGTGCGGCCGCCGGCTGGGAAACCCACCCTTGACGGGTCCCGGGCCGCCGGGCTCCTTGCTGCCCGTGGGTGGCCCGAGAGTGGACGTCACTGCCTCACCGTGCCCCGTGCGGAAGGCCTTCCAGGTCAGCGAGGACAGGAACATCGCCGACTTGTTAAAAATAACACAATGATATTCAAGCAAGATTTGTCCACAGCCGCCTGTTCATGAACCCCTGTGCTCGGCGTCTCAGGGTTACGGCGATGTCCCTTGCCCTGGACACGCGTGGCACAGCTGCCCCCGGGGCACACACGTGTGAATCGTATGTTAGGCATTTCCTGGCAGAACCGGGCGGGACGCACCGATGGTGGGAAACACAGGCCACGACCCCGAGGAGCCCCACTGCACCTCGTGTGGCAGCAGGAGGACCGTGCGGTGGGGTGGCCGTCCCCCCCTCGCTGCCGGAGCCCTGGGCGTCCCCCCCCCCGGCCCTCACGTTACTGGGCTGCCATCGGTCCCTCCCACGGGAGTGTCTGGTCCCCAGGCCATGCAGGCAGCACCTGCTTTGTTCAGAGTTCCCGCCTGAACCCAGGGCCTGGCTTTGGCCCCAACGTGGCAGGTAGAACACGGTAGCCATCACCAACACCATCATCATCATCACCATCATCACCATCAGCATCACCACCACCATCATCATCATCACCATCATCACCACCACCATCATCAGCATCACCACCACCACCTCCATCATCATCATCACCATCATCACCAACACCATCATCACCACCACCACCATCATCATCATCACCACCACCATCACCATCATCACCATCATCAGCATCACCACCACCACCATCACCATCATCACCACCATCATCACCATAATCAGCATCACCACCATCACCACCACCATCACCATCACCACCACC